AAAAAAATTGTTGCAAGAGAATCATACAAAAAAAAAAAATGTTGAAAACAATTGCAGTAATGAAAACTTGGGAATCACAAATTTTTAGGATAGTGAGTCTGGATTCAGACTGGAATGTTTTTTTATTTGCTCATGGAGTTGGCCTGATTCCAAAACAGGATGATATGTTGGGTTATGGCCTCTAGGAGTAAAGTTGAAACACTGACAATTTTATTTTGAAACACTGTAATTTGAGAACAGTAATTTTTTTTCATTTGAACATGAACTATTGAAAGTTAGAGAGTTGTGTTCCTTTAATTCTTTTTATCTGTAGAAGTCAAAATGGCAGAATCCGAAAACAATAGTGTTAATGAAAACTTGGGGATTCAGAATTTTGGGATTTCAGGTCCAGATCTGGCCCGGAATGTTTTTAATTTGCTCACAAAGTTGGCCTGATTCCCAAATGGTATGATATGTTGGGCTACGGTCACTAGGAGTAAAGTTGAGAAAGTGTGACACACATTTGCATTTATTATAGATGTATATAAATTTCTCACCCGTAATTTAAAAAAAAAAAAAAATCATGTTCATGTTGAGATTTCCAACTGTGCACTCACATTTATATTTAAATGTCACATCAATTCACATATTTACTTAAACCTACAGACAGTTCATTTCACATACTTACCTTCCACAATGTATACTAATTTAAACTTATTTGAATGTATCCATTTATCAAGGGACATACTCAAAACATGGACATTTATATTATGCATATATATGTATGACCACTACTTGCCTCCCTATTAAGGCCCCAGAGGGAATATGCCTTATATGGTATGTTTGACCAAATTCGGTAGCTAACCACTCCTGTTCTCCTCTACCAGCCACTATAATTAGTATTATTATTTATAAAATAATATATATTGCTTGATGACTATAATTTTATGAGTATTATATTGCTTTTTTACTGCCTGAGGATTGTGTGACAATAACATTAACCACCTTTATATCCATATGAAATATTTACTTGCAGACAGCAGTGAAATTTAAGTATTGTTTTTCCACATATATGATAAAAATATAGTTTTATGGTATGCTATATATATATATATATATATATATATATATATATATAAAAAAGTGCTCAATAACAGATAGAACAGGTGTAAATATAAAAGTGGATACTAAGTGGCAAGATTTTGTTTTATGCTTGAATGCAATCTTCAGACCATATATATGTCATTCGCAGACACTACTGTTTCATTGTATCACAGCTCCTCAGTGCGACTAGAAACCGAATGCTTCAAGCCTGGATCAAAACATATATATATGTGTGTGCGTTTTACACCAGCATGTTAGGTTTTATTACAAATATGATCTTGTCACTACAAGGCATAATACCTTCAGAAAAAAAGAATTTGGCGCTTCAAATACGTGCTTATTTTCCTTACTGGTTAATCAGGCCTTGAATATGTGTCAGTTAACAAAGAAATTAACTTTTATCACTTTGTATGTAATTTCATTTGCTGTGCATAAAAGTTTCTTCTGTAACTGAAGGTGACTCTGATTCTTGAATTTGTTTGAATTTCATAATTGTGTTGTCATATCCTGCTATGGCAACAGAAAACACTTTTGAGTGAAATTAACAATAAGGTTACTACAATTGAGAGCCACTGAAAAATAATGCACTGGAAAGGGAAGTAATATTAATAATGCAAAGTGGTAAATGTTAATATAATGATTAAATAAATTATGCTAATTTTGTTGATTAAATTAAAATACTTATTTTCATTGTAACTTGTATATTGTATTGTTTAGTTTGAAATGTGTAGTATAGCTTATTTTTATAAGTCATTAAAATTTAACATTTCTCATTAAAACTCATTTAGTGAATCACTTGACCCTAAGTGGTCTCAGGGGCATGACTATTTTTGTCCTTTGAACACCACAATCTGAATGGATTTATTAATTACACTTTTGTTTCTACACAGAATATTTGTTTGAACATTAAAATAAAATCAGTTTTGGAAAAATTGTTTCTCAAGAAATTCCATTTAAAAAAAAAAAAAAGATTTTTTTTCCTCCCATTTAAACATTTGCAAATGTATGTGCTTTTGTTAGTTTTTAACCCTTATATATAATAGTGTTCATATCAGAAAGTTTGGTAACAGAAATATTTTGTGAAATGTAACATTAATTTTTTTTCTTTTGTATTCTTAAATGGTTTGTTATAAAACCCCTCTTCACAGAAATTCATCACAAGATTGTTTCTTCTTCTGTTGCTGTCTTGTATTGTCAGCTTCATCACACCTGCTGCTGTTAGTGTTCTCATTATTTTATTTTTCACATTTTACAAAAAATGAACAAAAAAAAAAAGGACAAAAATAAGCTTTAATGAAATTTTTATGGTAAAAATCCAAAGAAATGGCATTTTAAGATTCAACTCTTGTGAACACTAAACTTATGAATTCATTATGAAACATTATGAATTCAATGTATGTTTGCGATGTCATTGCTTTTCATTACATCTTTCACACTGACATTGGCATATTTATCAATATTTTTATCTCTACATTCCAAACTCAGTTGGACTCTCATTGGATCAAATATACTTTTGATAAAATGAAGAAAAAACAATTGCAGTATAAATTAGACTAACCTTTCCACTTCTAAAGAAAAGGTTACTTTTATCTGAGTCTTCTTTCAGCTGGAGAGAAATTAATTAAAATACATTGTAGAAATTATTGAAATGTTAAAAATAAACACAATTTCATTGTGGTACCAAACTTGAGTGTAGCATGAAGAAATGGGGACATATTGAACATTACTATCAAAAGTAAAAGAAAAAACTGGTGTAACTTTTCTTAGGTGGCCAGCTCAACCCTCACCAAAAAGGATTGTTGATAAATTTTAAAGATTAAACAATAAAACAATATTACACCACCTTTTATCAGTATTAATTTTTAATGTGTCTCCACTTTTTTACATTATGCATAAACACCGAAATGACTCTTAGATGTGAGTATTAATAAAAATTTAAAATAAAACAATCATGTAGAAAAGAGGAAAAAATTCATCATAAACATTGTCTACTTGAAATTAATTTTATTTGGTAACTTCTAAGCTGATAAAATTGATTCGTTTGGAATGTTGGGGTAAAGTAAATGATGACAATGAAAATGTTAATCCAAGTGACAAGGCTATGAATTTTTAAAGAAACGTTCAGTTAAAAATTTATTTGGTGTTTTATTTTTCAACTTTATTTGCTGACCAAATTCCTCAATTTAATATTTTTTTCTTTAAAGAAAAATATTTAACTTATTAATTTGTTTAGTATACGAATATGTTTAATCTTATTTTCCAAAAGAATTTACAAAAAAAAAGTAAAGTTTATAGTAAAGAAAGAAAATGAGGTAAATTAAAATTTCTCTAAATATGTTCTGTGTCAGCATGGCCATTGACACCAGATCAGATGGCCTGTTAAATTTTACAAGAATTTACATTACCTCATCTGTTTAAATTTGAACTAGGAAAAAATTCAAAGGTATTTTTTACCTTTAAAAAAGTTGGGGGAAAACATATAAATAAAATGAAAAATAATGGTTGTCTGTTCAGTAAAAAGAAAATTTAACAATGTGATAAATTTAATCCCAATAAGGATTTAAAAAAAAATGTACAATTCACTCTAATGGGATTAATGGGTTAAGCAACTTTGAAATTTCTATCTAGATGACTAGAACCTGGCTTTATACATTTTTTTTTTTTTTTTTTTATAAAGATAATTTAAAAAAAAACTGAGATGGGTGGTGGAGAGGGTTTTTGTGTAACTCCTATCCCATTCAGAAGATTTTTTTTTTCTGTGTATATATATTGGGAATTTATTTATGACTTAAAATTTACATATTAATTCAAGATCTCAGATTAAAAACCTTGTATTTTCTGGCCTGCCTTTTTTTAAATTTTATTTTAAAAAAGCTATCAACTATGGTTTTGATAGAAATGTACATCCATATAAGAACAACTGAGTAACTGTTCAGACAACCACTTTGGCCCACAGTCTAACTGCTGGTCTATTCTGATAAATTTAATGTAAAGACTTTATTTGGTCCCTGATTTTTGGCTCCTGTCATGATTTTTTAAATGAGAGAGAATGACTTCAGTGAAGTGTTTAGGGTTTCATTTTACTTTTATTTCTTTTTCTTTTTTTCTATTGCTCTTAAGATGCACAGATATCTTTCCTCTGTTAATAAAAAAAAAAAAAAAAATTTTTAAATATTTTGGGAAAAAGGTTGTCCCAGGAAGGACCAATTTGCCTCTTTTCTCTGTCTGTAAATAAGCTATCCTTTTTTTTTTTTTTTGTAAACAAAAATATTAAGTAAACGCATTATTTTTGTGACTATTTAAAGAAAAAAAAAATACATGGAGACATATAAAGACATCATAAATTTAAAGTGATAATTCTACTCTTATATATTTGAAGTATAATATTTTCAACAATAAAAATACAAAAGAGAAAAAAAAAAAAACAAAGCTAAATCCCTCGTCCATTTACCCTAAAAGTAAGTCTGTGTATCCGGTGGGCTTGTATTATTTTTAAATTCAAATTTTTGCTTATAGTCAATATATATAGCTCCATGTCTACAGTATCTACAATATAAGCAAAATAGCATGTGTGTGAGATGTTGATGGAAATTGTATTGTTGTCTATTTGAAAAATTAAAATTTATATAGCTTATAATCAAATTTTAATGCCATTTCAATGTTTCTAATAGGTGCGTATGACACTGGCTACATATATATTAATTTATATATACAAAAATGTATATGCACTTTATCAGTGATTTTGAAAACTGTGATAATATGTCATGAAAAAAATCAAACAATATTTTCATATTGACTTTATAATAAAATTATTAAATTTAAGGAACTAAACAGTTAATGTGTGCATAAATTTATGATGTGTTATCTATATTACAGTGTTGCAAAAATTGTATACTTACTTTTATTGTTCAGGCTTATGGACATATCACATTGAAACACCGGTTCTCATATGATCACTGAAGTTAAGCAATGTCAAGCTTGGTCAGTACTTAGATGGGTGACTGCTTAGGATTATCAGCTGCTGTAAGCTTGGATGTGTGTCAGGAGTAATGGCTTAGAAATGGAAATCAGAGAGACGAGTTCCAATTCCAGTTGGGTTCATTATATTCACTTATATACAAATACCTTTGGGGAAAGATATGAATTCACCTTTTATCTCCTCCAGCTATGGGTTAATTAGTATGATTTGTATCAGTACATCATTATTATATCCCAAATATTCTTACAATCTAAAAATTATTGGCTGGTTTTAAATAACCTGTATAGGGTGGATAAGCTGTAAAAACAAATCAATCAATTTTATTGTTCATTCTTCAAGAGACCTTTTCCAATACCTGTTTGAAAGAAATTCTCATTGTTTCAAATTTAAGTCCATTCCCAGGGTAATTTTTCACTTATAAAGAAAATAGGTGTTCAACAATAGTGTGCGTATATATATATATATATATATATATATATATATATATAGTGTTTCATTAAGATGGATCAAAGTCAGCAGTAAATAAATCAGTGTTATTGGTGAAAATTTATTTGTCTATTGGATCATGTTATTTAAGTCATGGCAATCATGTATGAAAAATAATATCACCCAAATGTCTGCCAAATCTGAAAGAAAAAGAAAGAAATCATTAGACAAATTTAATTCACATTTAAAATTGGTTCAAGTTAGTGGAACACCCTTTATAATGTTATGCTAATGTTCACCCAATACAAAGTCTAAGAGCCACTCAAGGTAGAGGTTTACTGTAATGTTGTATGGGCATTAGAAAAGGCAAGAAGTGAAGTTTATGGGGTTATGCAGGAAAGCTAATGATTAACCCTAGACTTCAAGTAGTCAAAATTGTAGCGATTGGGAAAAATTGTCCAAGTGGCACTTACTATTGGAATATGAAGGGAATGGGATGATTTACACTTTTCTACATGGCATGATAGGTCCTAGTTATAAGGGACTAAGGAATGTAGCTCAGCAGAACACATGCCATGGAGATAATAATAGACCAGTGAAAGGCTCACAACATTTTTATTTGTAGGAGGAGGATTGTAAGATGGAAAATAATTCATATGCATACATATATTAAAAAAAAATTCTTTTGTACCTGTTAATTATGTTTAAGCAAAAGTTGGTATGTGTAACAGGTATATTGTTTTCTTTCTGAACAGCTTATATTTTAAGCACTTCCTAGTCAAACAGCTCATCGGTTAACCTTTTATGTAGTAATCAGAGAAGCATAACTGATTTGTACATTTCTCTTCTCATTTTATTCAACCATTCTTTCATTTTTATTACTTAATTTGGTTTACTCAATGATAACCTGGTAATGGGATATGAGTGTATCTGCTATGAATTTCAAAACCTGGTATAATTTAAAATCAAATTATGGTCAGTAATATTAAAGCTCCCCACAGCAACACCCATTTGTTTGTGTTACTATCTATTTTGGTAAAAACTCTATCTGATTGAAATTTGTGAACCCCATGTTATGTCACTTTTCCCATTTTTGAATGATAAGGAATGAAGCAGATCTCATTTCAATATATCAAATGATTGTCCAATCTTCAGAGCTAAATGTATTTTTGGTGGAATATTTTTCTTGTGTCTTTTTCATGTCCAAGTAAGGCTAAGATTTGTATCAAGGAAGCAAAAACAACGTATTTTTTATTGTCAGGAATATTTTGAAAGAATAGCTGGTGGGAATATATCAAGCTCCGAGATGTAGAATTGTCCTTATTACTCTGACTAATATCTCCATTACTGTTTTTAACACATATTGTCTGAAGTCTGCTTGGGTCCAAATCTTTTAGTGTTCATGCTTTATTTTATTTCTTTTTCAAATTTTCCCACTTTTTTAGTTCATTGTTAGTATGAATCACCGATACCATGACTGATGTGTGGATTTTTCTAATTGAGTAGGTTATTTTTAAGCAGTGTTAATGAAAATGGTCATGGTATAAGCATTTCTGTTGATGTATACATGTGATGTGATAGGTGTATATATACATATTTCCATCATGTAATTGTTTCAGATGTGTGACCCATATTATTTGTTTATATGAAGCATCTGTATACACACATGTACAAGAATTACTGAACTGATATTTTTAACTTCTTTTCTTAGTTCATTTAATTTCTACTTGATTTGTCCTTGGTTGCTTTCTACTTTGTTTTGCTTGCTTAATGTCAAAATGATGCCTGACAGTTGCCAATTTATCAGGGACCAATTTGTCAATGAAACTCAACCACAATCCCAAAAAGTAAGTCATGAAAAAAAAAATTGACTTACTAAACTTGTTTATTTCTTGTTAGACACAAATTTAGTTTAGTCTGACACTTGTTCCTTATTTTAAAATTTTTTTTTTTTAAAAAAAAAGAAAAAAAAAGGAAATGTTGAATTTGAAATAATGAAAATTTGGTAGCTACACATGGTAGCTTTGTTTCACATCTTATAATAACTTGATTTAGTATCATTATTTTTATTAGTGCTTACTTATTACCATATTGTGAAAAGGGGTTATTGAGTATTCTTGAAAATGTGGCAAACATTAAATAACACTTACAAGGAAAAAATTATTTTATAACAAAATTTTATATAAGCAGTTTAAAATATTAGTATGGTTGTATGATCTACTGTGATAAACATTTTGTTTAAGACTGCACTCTCAATAGCAAGGCATGGCTGGTTATTTTGGGAAGATGTTGCAGCTGCTTCTCTTATATATAATCCTGGTGTTTACCAATTTGAACATTTTTTTTTTAATGTGGAAAAATTATATAATTACCTTTTCACTGTATAGTAATATTTGAGTATTGATTTTTTTTTTCTTGTTCAAATTCAAAGTTGATTGAGTAATTTAGCTAATATTAAATATTCACCTTCATGGATTTATAGACAAGGTCACAAAATTTGTAACCATTAATTTAGAACTAGCAAGTAATCTCTTTAATTGTAAGCATTATTATAGTTTTCCTTTTAGCTTCTCTGGTATGATTGAATTGTTGATCGGTGTCGCAAGACATTATTCCATAAAAGAGTCAATGCTGAGTCTGACATTTCTAAAACTTTTAATATCAAGTTTTATGCAAAATTTTATGTTGGTGGTGGTGGTGAAGGGGTATAGGACTCTTCAGTTTTAAATATATTTAACCAGAAAATATCCAAGAAAATAATTCAAGGAGAGAGAAAGAAAAAAAAACAACAATCTAATCAGCTTCCATAAAAAAAAGTAAAGCATAATAAAAAAAAAAAAAACTTAAATATATTGAATACTGAAAAACATTCAAGGTTAATAATATTAACATCAATAATAATAATAATGATTGGAGTTGACTTTTTCTTTCTTTCTTTTAATTGCTTTACTTTTTCTACAGACTGTGATATAAACAATAAATGATTTTTTTCTTTTTAATATGTATTTTCATTGAATATAATAATAAAGTTCTATGCTACCCTTAAAATCTGCAAAACATCTTTTGATTTTTAATATTGGCAATATCTATAAAATGGAAATTCTCAGTTATTGTTCTGCTTGTGGAATAACTCCATGTATTATGTTTCTAATACAAGCACGTCCAGAGGAATTTGACATATTGAAAGAAAAAGCACCTGTAGCCTATATATATATATATATATATATATATATATATATATATATAATTTATTTTTTGTTGTTGTTGTTGATGATCGCAAATAAAATGAAGGTTTTAATAACCACAACATTCTTCGTACAAATCTGCTGAACTGTCATGTCTTATTTTTGTTGTTGTTGTTCAAAACCAAATAAAAGGAAAAAAAAATAGTTTAAAATATTTAAAAAAAAATACAATATCTGTTTTTGTTTTTGCTTATATTATGTGTTTCTGAAATTATTTATTCTTTCTATCACACAATCTTTGGGATATTGTTAATGTAATTTTATTTTATTTATTTAAATATTTCAGCAAAACAAACTGTACAAAAATTGTCTAATTTGAATTATTAATTATTTGAGCATTGGAATGACGCTAAAGTTTCTTCATCTACACAGTGCTTAGAAATTAATCTGGATGACCAAATTGTCTCAATTGAACAAATGCTAAAATTTGAAAATGATTTTTTTAGATGATGTAATGTCATCATTTTATGTTTTACCAAATGGTTGAAAGAAAGAGGAAGGCACTGAAATTCATTTTCTGTGACATAAGTGGAATTACAAACTGACTTACTAAGAATAGGTTTAGTGATTATGAAGAGTTTGACAAGAATGCAAAGCATTGTATTATGAGGATGCATCAATAAGTTTGTAGCCTGGTACAGTCATTTACTGTATAATGCTTCAGCTATGTAATATTCACAAATGAATTATTTTGATAAATATCTGTGGGTGGTACAAGATTTTATTAGTGCTTTAGAAATGGACATTTATGATAAAACGTGTCAGCTAAGTTTTCCTTTTGTTCATACACACATAGACATATACTCATATATATATATGAAATAAACAAAGGAGTGGAAGATCAAGGATAAAATAAAACATTTCTTACCATAACAGTGGAACAAAATAATGTAAATACGAAAAAGAAGTGTAGCGGTAACTTTTAAATTTCCCTCGTTACAGTGAGAAATTTTTTTTCTTGTCCTTGTTCTTTTGTTTTATATATTTTTGCATATATTGCATCTCAGGTTCAGTTTCTTTCTCACCACTATAATGTAGCTTCCCTATGCTTTTTTCTATTAATACTTTCATGGTAATTCATCTGAGGAACTCTTCATGGTACCTAGATTTCATGAACTTAAATGAAGTACTGGATTGGCAGCACGGTCTCATCATTTTACAGTTGAAATGGCTGCTAGATGTAACAGTAAGTTCTATGCTAACAGTTTTTCTCGCACTTCTCATTTGTGGAACTCTCTTCCAGCTACTATTTCCTTATCTAAAAAATTTTGGCAAAGTTTAATCTATCTATATGATTAATGGAGAAACATTGAAGTAAGGCTTGTTAATTTTAAGGCCTACAAAATGAAACTGATCCCTGCCTTCCACCAACATGGCT